AAAAGAAAAAAAAAAGAAAAAGAAAAGAAAAGAAAAAAAGAAAAAAAAGAAAAAAAAGAAAAAGGCCTTTTGTTGCCTCCCTTTTCTTCAAACGACCAGTACTTCCGAGGCACTTTCCTCCAGGGCTAAAAATGCCCTACGCGCCCAAAAAAGCGAAACAGCGCTGGCCTCCTTTTGGCTGACACCACAAGCCATTTTGCTCCAGTGGCCGAACCCTGAAAGTTGCGGCAGCGTGCAAGCCGTGACTTTTGAAAAATGGCTGGGAAAAGTACCGGTGATTTAAGGGATTTTTTAAACCTCAGTACTTTTCCCAGGCGCAAGAAGGTAACACAAAAAGAAAAAAGCAAAAAAAAGGCTCAAGCTAGCGCCATGATGGGGGTCAAGGCCGCTTGGTAGGCCGTTCCCACATGCTGAGGATCTATGTATGAATGTTCTGGCTTTGTCTTTTTTTTCCTTAAAAAAAAAAATGTTGTGGCGTTGTTGGTTGGTTGCTCGGGCTTGTTTGTGCTTTGAGTGATTTCAGGTGCGTCATCGAGCAGAGAAAGTCAACGAGGCTGGGAGGAGGGGGGAGCATAAGTGAGCAGACCGAGGGAAAGAGTTAATGAAGGCAACATTGCAAACACACGGATGCATAGTACCCAGATTACCAATACTGCGAAGCTGAAGACGGCTATCTGATCCAACATCATTGAATCACCTTCAAGATATCATCAATATGCTAATAGTCCATCATAGAAGTATAAATACTATGCTAGGCAAAAGGGATCATGAAGCACAAGGTGTCAGCAACGAGGATAGCAGAACACGTTCATTGGTGCCCATTCTGTCCCTCACAAGGACTCTTTATGGTCGACAGATCCAGCGGCTGAGAACAACTGGTTCTAACGCATGGCATGCGATATAAGATCGCTGTGTGACTGTACTAAAAATAGAACCTGATATTGCTGTGTTGTAAATACAACCTGATAATCATGGCATCAACTCACAGAGAGACTGCCAATCACAAAGTTTAGCCTTCTCTCTCTCTCTCTCTCTCTCTCTCTCTCTCTCTCTCTCTCTCTCTCTCTCTTGACATGCCAAGTGCCGTGGAAACCGATTTCGTACACCCACACTGGAATGCGTAGGGATTGCTACCAGGCAGCGCCGTGGTAGCGACTTAGGGCCTGTGGCTACACTGCGAAGTAATTCGTCCGTACACCCAGAGTGGAGTGTGTACAGACTGCTACCAAGCAATTCATACACCCAGCCTGGAGTGTACGGATTGGTACCATAGCACCGTTTTTAGAGCAATCCGTACACCCAGGCTGGAGTGTACTAAATACTTCTACAGCACTGCGGTAGCGATGCTTAGGGAGCAACTCTGTACACTCAGACTCAGGAGACAATCTGTCATCTTCCCCTGTATTTCCCAGGTTCCTGCCCCGTCCCCTTTTCAGTTTCCCCTCGCCATTACTCCCCTGCTCTTCCCCCTCGGGACCCCTTCCTCCGGCCGCCCTCTCTCCTGCCTCACCCCGCGCCTCCCCGTCTTCTCCTCTCTCCTCCTCTCTTGTTGATATGGCTTCACCCACCTAATGGTGCACGTCCCGTTGGCTGCCATTTGTAATTTTCCCCTTGCATCCCCTCTGCACCCCTCACCCTCCCCCAGCCCCGCTCTATCACCCCTGTCGTCAACTACAGCGGACCGCTTTGCAATGATGAGAGCAGCTGGCTGATTGGTCGTAACTCGCTCCTGCATACTGATTGACAGGGCCAGGATGGATCCAACCGAGGCAGCAAGTAGGTGATCGCAACTCCCTCCTCTCAACACCTCCATCAAGCTCCCTTCCCTCTCCACTAGCCTGTTCCCATACTAGGAGAAGATGATGGAGGTAGGGGATAGATGGCATCCTGTACTTGCTTTCTCTTTCCCTCTTGGTTGGTCGACAGCAGGTGTGTCTACGTCCAAGCCAGTCGTGCCACCTTGCCAGTCTTTCTGACCGTGCGAGCAAAGCTGTCGGCAACCGATCCCGATCCCGATCCCACGAAGGAGGGCCCGGCTAGAAGAATCTGACGAAGTGCTTGGTCACCCGATTGCTTGTTGAGAATCTCTGCGAATTCCCTCCCCAGCTTAAGCGTTCCTTAAGAGTGTACTACCCTACTTTGGCTATTTATGGGCAGCAGCAGGGCCTAGGCAAGTCAAAGGAACACAGTTCGAAAGAAAACAAGGAAGCAGAGGGGGGCGGAAGGGAGGAAGGAAGCAAGGGAGGGAGGAAAAGAAGGAAAGAAGGAAGGAAGAGAGAGAGGTGGGAGGGGGGCGAGAATCATGGTGCCCAATACATGGTCTTCATCATGGACAGGAGAGGCATCGTCGAGACAGACACAATTATCGGGGTTGGGGAGGTTGCAATGGTGTGGAAGGGAGGCATTGAGGGGGAGCAAATTGGGCTCGTGGGCTGTAATGGCTATGGCGTTGTGGGCCTTGGTTGTGATGGTGGATGTGCCGTTGCCTGTGGAGGGCACCCATTTTCGATATGGCACTTTGTACTGGCACCATACGAGGGGCATGTGTGTGGCCTTCGTGATGAAGACCGCCTTCCGACGGAACTACAACTGGGGTCAATACTTTAGAGAGGAGTACAGGATCGATAGCGGCCCTTGGATACACGGAGGGTCGTTCATTGGGACCAAAGAGAACCGGAAAGCCTTTGAGAACTTTACCAAGGAGCCGGAGGAGGTGTACATCAAGCGGTACAAGCTCCGATTTGGGGTGGGAATGCGGCAAGAGGGGTATCCAATGACCCCCAAGGGTATCTGCAGCAGCCCCTTTCACAAAGGGTGGAACCGGACCTTTCCCATGCACCCATGGGGCGAGCTGGACCCACCTGGGGCAAACTTCGACAAGTACGTGTGTGCTCCTTGGTCGGAGACTTTCGGCTTCTTCTTTGGCGATGACACCCCAGGCTCGGCGGTGGAAGTGGACATCACCAACATCGACACCAGTCTGTCGCTGGTGGGCAATGTGCTCAGAGGCACTAGCAAGCCCATCGAGCACTGCTACAACCGGCCTGTGGCACCGGACGGCCAACCCTGGCTGGCTTTCTTCACGGGCGGCGACCGGATTGACAACCTGAACAACAACGCCAATGGCCGCTACAGGCTGGAGATCGAGGTGTCACTGAACATCACCAATGGTGTGATCAACACTTCCCCCATAGCTACACAGATCCCGGTGCTTCCCGTGCCCTATACTGACTCTCCCAGCCATGCTCGGTTTCAAATAGCCGCGTACGACCCGGATGTGGGCGATGTGACCCACTTCCGGCTGGGCGACTCGTTCGAGCATGGAGCGTTGATGGCTCACAAAATGGTGGATGGGAAGCTGTTTCGAAAGGGGGTGAAGTCTTGGCACCAGGACGTGTACGAGAACTATGCCTGCAACAAGCTGAGAAGTGCATATGGTCAACAAATTGGTCCCAGGTGGTGTCCCAACTTCAACGAGACCAGCTGGCTGGTGGACGAGAGCATAATGCCTTGGAACAATGCCACTTTCTACCCCGGACCCCCTCCAGACCTGGACATAGACAGATACACCGGATTCGTGACTTTCAGAACGGGGAAGGACCCATGGACGGCCTCCACTCCAGAGCCTCTGGGAGCTGCTCCTGCGCAGCAGCAGTCATACAAGCCCAAGCTTCCGGGGTTCTACAACCTAGTGGTGATGGTGCTAGACGTCAGCCATGGGGGGCTCAAAGTGCCCATCGACTTCCTGCTCTACCTCTACCCCTCCATGCACTACTGTTCCATTGACTGCAACAACACTAAGCCAGGAGTGGCCAGGCTATCCACCTTCGAGTCGTTCAACGGGCTGTATGGCGACCCCCGGCAGGACGATGCAGAGCACCTGGTCTACGATAGCCCTGGCACAGGCTTCTGTGCCCTCTGTGGAGGGGGAGGGCAGGTGGTCAATAGCTCGGGCCAGGTGCTGACTCAATTTACGAGTGCCCCTGAGGTCCTGAACATCCGGTACCATCCCATCAACCTTGAGAACGGGACCATGTACTGCCACCTCCAGGAAAAGGTGACTGGGCAACCCCTAGAGACGGGGGACCCCGGCCACATGAGAGGGAAGAAGGCTGCTGGGTACACATGCGATGGGGGCATACCTTGTAGCGAGGCAGTGACTTCCACCGCCGTGGAAATTGGCGAGGGCACCTGCATGGGCACCAGGGAGTACATCAACGGGGAGGAATCAGTCAAACCCTATGGGGGCTCGTTGACTGTGTGCAGACTGAACACAAAGCCGTACTTCTTGACCAAGGACACAGAGCCACCCGGCCCTACCCCTGCCATGGGTCCGGTTGTCGTTGGGCCAAACAACTTGACGGGGATTAGGGAGCCAGCCGTGGTGAGGCAGAAGGTAGGGGAGAACGTGACCTTCACTCTGCGTGCCACAGACGATGACGAGTGCGTGGAGCTGGAGATCGGTGAGACGGGGCTGTACCCCGGCATGTCCCTCAGCGACCATGAACGTCTGGACCCCTGGACAGTGCAGCGGAACTTCACCTGGGCCGTCCAGCTGGGGCCTCTGGGCAATGATATCAGAGACCGAGATGTGCTGGTGTGTTTCTATGCCTTTGACAAGTACCTTATCACGGCAGACCCCTTCCACTGCGTGCGTATCCTGCTGACAGAGCCGTCGAACGTGATCTGGTGCGAGGACTCGATTCCCTACGGTGACACTCCTGCCACCTTTGAGGCCTACTACAGGGAGGAGTCGTGCATTCCCCTGTGTGTGAGACGGGATGCCGTGGCTTACCAGGCCAGCCTTGCGATCAGGACCATCAGCGACAGTGCGGCGGTCCAATACCCCTTCCCCCATGACAAAGTCAACTACCCGTCCACCGGGCAACTTTTGGACTTCCGAGGCACTCACAATGTGACGGCACGCTACTGTTTCACCCCCACAGAAGGTTTCGAGTGCACCTACACAGTGTGCTTCCAGGGCTTTGACATGAACCCAGGCTCCAACGACGCGACCAGCATCCGGTGTTTCCGCATCGAAGTGCTCAACGACGTGCTGCAGGTGGAATTCACTCCTCCTTACAACGGGGCCTCGGCTGTGGCCCCGACCCTTAGCAACTCCATCCTGCCCAACCGGGGCTTGACTTTCTCTGCCTGGATACTTCCTGGCTGCGACCGCCGTGGTGTCAATGAGACGGTCCTCCACTTTGGTTCCGCCAAGACTGGGAACTCTAGCGTTGGCAATGTCAGGGTCCGGAATGCTATCGTCTGGAACATGGGCACCCAAGGCGGCAGGTTCCTCTACTTCGATGGCCATATCGGGGATGTGTTTAGCCCTCCCTACTACTCTTGCAACCTATGGCATTACGTCGTTGTCAGCATTGCTCCCAACAACTCCGGAATCCTGGTTGTAGACAACACCAAACGCGGGCATCGTCTAAACAACCGACGGGATGTGTACAAGTTCAGCATCACACCTTTCGAGACCCCTTCGCGTCCCGACAATGGGATTGATGGCGACGATGATGGGTACTTCAACATTGGTTATTTCCCAGGCCAACCCTTCTTGGGATCTGTGGACGAGGTGCGAGTGTGGAACAGACCTCTCACTCTTGACGAGATCCGCGAAAAGATGTTTCTTAGGCAACTGGACCCCAGCACGGAACGCAACCTGGTCGGCTACTATACTATGAGGCCATCACCTCCCATCCTCGTTCCTTGGTATTCCCTTATGAGGTACAGGTACATGCAAACTCCCAACCACACCATGAGGGAGGGCTTCCACGATTTCTCTGGGCACAACCACACCCTCATCCCCACCCATCCACGGCAAGGGATCATGGCTGCCTACGGGGCACAAGCCGCCATCCCCTCTATGATTCCTTGTGTCATGGGCCTCGAACACCCGGTCGGTCCCTGTCATGGGGACTGCCCCATGGACGTCTATGGCTGGTCCATCGCTGCTAGCCAAATGCTCAAGTGCAGATTCGGAGACGTCGAAGTCGAGGGTGTATACGAAGATGATCGCACAGTCAGATGCAGCTCTCCAGGCTACTTCTCCCCTCGCTATGTCGACGTCACTCTTAGCAACGATGGCTATCGCTTCACTAACCCTGACGACATTGGCAAGAGGACCCAGCATCTATACCTTGAATCCACTTTGTACCTTGATGGAACAAAGAACGCTGGAGCCTCAGCAGATGGTGTCTGCCAGGACCTGCCCTCCTCTGCTGTCACCTTTGGAGGATGGTTCTGTCCACGCTGTGGTCCAACGCGTTGATCAGGGACTGCTTCCATACCCAACTTCTCTGGTGCCTTCTACACCTCAACACTGATTCACATTCCCAACTTACGACTGCCTTCCTCTTTTCATAGCTCAATGCTTCTCTTCTCCCTGGCTCACACACACACACACGCACACACACACACACACACACACACACACACACACACACAGAGAGAGAGAGAGAGAGAGA